GGATATCTTCTCTTCATTGTTCTGCTTATCTGATTGCATCTGGGTGTACCGACTGAGCTACACAGACTCTGGTTCGGAACAGAAGAACCCAAAAAGTTTCTTCGAATTATCTTGCCATATATTCCTGTTCAAAGTATGCTTAGAAAAACGATGTTGCTTTACAAAGATGCTAAATTTCAACAACGGCCCATTGGTACCTTTGCAATTTTAAAGGATGTCCCGAAGGACAGACAAGGTTTATTTATTTATTTATTTATTTTTAATAGAAAACGAAACTTCCATTCACCAAGAAAATGATTGTCTGAGGCTGGGGACTTCACAATTCAACCCCGGAAAGTATTGAGAACATTAGCCAGCGTACCTTGTGTATGCACTTCTTGCATAAAGACGACCACATGCATCTTTTAAGTCAGAAAAAAGTCGTGTACTTGAGTAGTTTTCTAACCTGCAGTATGTTTCTCCTACTCACTGGAGTCCGTGCTGGTCTACCTGTAGAGGTGTTCGACCTGGGACCGTGAAGGCCTGCTAGCAGGCCCGGGACCGTGAAGGCTTGCTAAACCGGGGACCATGAAGGCCCGTAGGATAGGAGTAGTGTAGATGTGTTCTACCTGCACTACTATAATCCTACGCCCCTTCATGGTCCAACAGGTCCAGTGGGGCGTGGTCCTGGGTCTAGCGGCGCCCCGTGCAGTCTCTCTCCATCGTTTTATATGACTCTCCTAAGTACTGATCTCCTTCGATTTAACTGAGGGCATACTCACACTGGGCTGTGGACGTGATTGCGGTCAGATGCATCCAGGTGTGGTCGTAATTGCAGTCAGATTCTTTTGGGAATGTGTTCATGCGAGTATGCCTTACCTCAGGAACCGCGAGTCCCGGAATGGTTCTGGGACATTGCAGCTCTATCTACTAACCTTGCCCTGTTGATACAACACCGAGTGCCCTGGTCATCGCCTCCCCCTACCACGGTTAACTTTACTATATCTTAACTAACGCCCAACCATCTGGTCACGACCAGCCTCCCTTTCGGCAGAGATTTTGGTCAGTTTGCCGTGCACCACATCTCCCTCAACTGCCCCTCCTTGCTCTTCCTTTGCACTATGCTTTCGGTACAATACCCCCCTATTTGATTTCGGAGTATTAGGTCCTTGAAGGTCATAGGTTCGGGCCCGGTCTGTCCTCCGGGACATCCGTTAAAATTGGAACGATACAGAGAAGATTAGCATGGCCCCTGCGCAAGGATGACACGCATAAATCGAGAAATGGTCCAAATTAAAAAAAAAAAAAAAAGGTTC